TGTCTCCCATTTGGGTGTGCAAGTTTCTGTAGTATGCTATTAAATCGACCCCCGATTGACTTTGACTGCCTCCCATTCGGGTGTGCAAGTTTCTGTAGTATGCTATCAAATCGACCCCCGATTGACTTTGACTGTCTCCCATTTGGGTGTGCAAGTTTCTGTAGTATGCTATTAAATCGACCCTCGATTGACTTTGACTGTCTCCCATTCGGGTGTGCAAGTTTCTGTAGTATGCTATCAAATCGACCCCCGATTGACTTTGACTGTCTCCCATTTGGGTGTGCAAGTTTCTGTAGTATGCTATCAAATCGACCCCCGATTGACTCTGACGGTCTCCCATGCGGGTGTGCAAGTTTCTGTAGTATGCTATTAAATCGACCCCCGATTGACTTTGACGGTCTCCCATTCGGGTGTGCAAGTTTCTGTAGTATGCTATTAAATCGACCCCCGATTGACTTTGACTGTCTCCCATTCGGGTGTGCAAGTTTCTGTAGTATGCTATCAAATCGACCCCCGATTGACTTTGACGGTCTCCCATTCGGGTGTGCAAGTTTCTGTAGTATGCTATTAAATCGACCCCCGATTGACTTTGACTGTCTCCCATTCGGGTGTGCAAGTTTCTGTAGTATGCTCTCAATTCGACCCCCGATTGACTTTGACGGTCTGCCATTCGGGTGTGCAAGTTTCTGTAGTATGCTATCAAATCGACACCCGATTGACTTTGACGGTCTTCCATTCGGGTGTGCAAGTTTCTGTAGTATGCTATTAAATCGACCCCCGATTGACTCTGACGGTCTCCCATGCGGGTGTGCAAGTTTCTGTAGTATGCTATTAAATCGACCCCTATTGATTTTTGGATTTGGTCTTCCCATTCGGTGTGCAAGTTTCTGTAGTATGCTATTAAATCAATTCTCATTGATTTTGACTGTCTCCCCATTCGGTGTGCAAGTTTCTTGTAGTATGTTATTAAATCGCACTCTCGATTGACTTTGGAGTGTCTCCCCATTCGGTGTAAGTTTCTGTATTTTGTTAACAAATCGACTCATTGACTTTTTGACGGTCTCCCCTGGTCTGGGTGTGCAAGTTTCTGTAGTATGCTATTAAATCGACCATTGACTTTGGACGGTCTCCCATTCGGGTGTGCAAGTTTCTGTAGTATGCTATTAAATCGACCCCCGATTGACGTTGACGGTCTCCCATTCGGGTGTGCAAGTTTCTGTAGTATACTATCAAATCGACCCCCGATTGACTTTGACGGTCTCCCATGCGGGTGTGGAACTTCTCTGGTATTTTGTATAATATGACCGAGGTGCCTCTACCCCTTACTATAGTGAAATAGTGCCATCCAGTGTACAAGGGCGGACGCTTTCATCACCGTCTCCCACTCGGTGTGTGCACATTCTCGGATCATTTTGTATAGTATGCTATTAAATCGACCCTCGATTGACTCTGACGGTCTCCCATTCGGGTGTGCAAGTTTCTGTAGTATGCTATTAAATCGACCCCCGATTGACTTTGACTGGCTCCCATTCGGGTGTGCAAGTTTCTGTAGTAGGCTATCAAATCGACCCCCGATTGACTTTGACGGTCTCCCCATTCGGTGTGCAAGTTTCTGTAGTATGCTATTAAATCGACCCCCGATTGACTTTGACGGTCTCCCCATTCGGGTGTGTTTCTGTAGTATGCTATTAAATCAATTCCTCATTGACTTTTTGACTGTCTCCCATTCGGTGTGCAAGTTTCTGTAGTATATGCTATTAAATCGACCCCCATTGACTTTTTGACTATTCCCATCTGCTGTGTAAGTTTTCTGTAGGATGTTGATTTTCAAATCGACCCCGATTGACTTTGACGGTCTCCTGATTCGGGTGTGTGCTTCTGTAGTATGTTATCGAATCGACCCCGATTGACTTTTGACGGTCTCCCATTCGGGTGTGCAAGTTTCTGTAGTATGCTATTAAATCGACCCCCGATTGACTTTGACTGTCTCCCATTCGGGTGTGCAAGTTTCTGTTGTATGCTATTAAATCGACCCCCGATTGACTTTGACTGTCTCCCATTCGGGTGTGCAAGTTTCTGTAGTATGCTATTAAATCGACCCCCGATTGACTTTGACTGTCTCCCATTCGTGTGTGCAAGTTTCTGTAGTATGCTATCAAATCGACCCCGATTGACTTTTGACGGTCTCCCCATTCGGGTGTGCAAGTTTCTGTAGTATGCTATCAACCGACCATTGACTTTTGAAGGCTCCCATTCGGGTGTGCAAGTTTCTGTAGTATGCTATTAAATCACCCCCTCATTGACTTTTGACGGTCTCCTATTCGGTGTGCAAGTTTCTGTAGTATGCTATTAAATCGACCCCGATTGACTTTGGATTTGTCTCCCTATTTGGGTGTGTGCAAGTTTCTGTAGTATGTTATTAAATCAATTTCCATTGACTTTTGACGGCTTCCCCATTCGGTGCAAGTTTCTGTAGTATGCTATCAAATCGACCCCCGATTGACTTTGACTGTCTCCCATTTGGGTGTGCAAGTTTCTGTAGTATGCTATTAAATCGACCCCCGATTGACTTTGACTGCCTCCCATTCGGGTGTGCAAGTTTCTGTAGTATGCTATCAAATCGACCCCCGATTGACTTTGACTGTCTCCCATTTGGGTGTGCAAGTTTCTGTAGTATGCTATTAAATCGACCCTCGATTGACTTTGACTGTCTCCCATTCGGGTGTGCAAGTTTCTGTAGTATGCTATTAAATCGACCCCTCGATTGACTCCCCTTTTGGACGGCCCCATTTTGCAAGTTTCCTGTAGTATGTTATTAAATCAATCTCATTGACTTTGACTGTCTCCCATTCGGGTGTGCAAGTTTCTGTAGTATGCTATTAAATCGACCCCCGATTGACTTTGAGTGTCTCCCATTCGGGTGTGCAAGTTTCTGTATTTTGCTATCAAATCGACCCCCGATTGACTTTGACGGTCTCCCATTCGGGTGTGCAAGTTTCTGTAGTATGCTATTAAATCGACCCCCGATTGACTTTGACGGTCTCCCATTCGGGTGTGCAAGTTTTTGTGGTATGCTATCAAATCGATCCCCGATTGACTTTGACGGTCTCCCATTCGGGTGTGCAAGTTTCTGTAGTATGCTATTAAATCGACCCCCGATTGACGTTGACGGTCTCCCATTCGGGTGTGAAAGTTTCTGTAGTATGCTATTAAATCGACCCCCGATTGACTCTGACGGTCTCCCATGCGGGTGTGGAACTTCTTTGGTATGTTGTATAATATGACCGAGGTGCCCCTACCCCTTACTATAGTGAAATAGTTCCATCCAGCGTACAAGGGCGGACGCTTTCACGACCGTCTCCCATTCGGTATGTGCAGATTCTCGGATCATTTTGTATAGTATGCTATTAAATCGACCCTCGATTGACTCTGACGGTCTCCCATTCGGGTGTGCAAGTTCTCTTGGTGCATTTGAAGTATGAGTTGAGTTTAATGAAGTTGATTTCGTCATAGGCACGGTGCTGTGCTGTGCTGTGCCATCGACAACACCAATAAGGAAAGGGCATCTATTTTTACTTAGGCTAGCATACCTAAGTTAAAGCAAACTCCCCTTGCCAATACAAGAAGGAAGAGGATTTCGACATCGACGAAACCTCCGGCGGCCCGGTAGTGGTTGGTTAGGTTAGGTTAGGTTAGGTTAGGTTAGGTTAGGTTAGGTTAGGTTAGGTTAGGTTAGGTTTGGTTAGGTTAGGTTAGGTTAGGTTAGGCGGCCCGGTAGTGGTTGGTTAGGTTAGGTAGTTGCCTGTATTATTATTCTATAAAATTTAAGGTCCCCCGTTAGACTTTACCACGGTCAGGCTAAACAGTTTAGGCTAGATAGTGGTGGCTGCTTGGATTATTTCTTTGTCTCTTATTGACTTTGGGTGGCTAACCTCTATAAAATTGAGGACAGCAATAGACTTTGTACTAAGGTTAGGTTAAACAGACACTTGGAGCAGGCCGCTACACACTTTTGCTGTAATGGAGGATTTCGCCATCGGGGAGCGTGACGAAACCTCCGGCGAAAGTAGTGGTGGCTGCCTGTATATCTCTATAAAATTTAGGCCGCCAATAGACTTTAGACCAGGGTTAGGTAGTATCGGCTGCTTGGATTATTTCTTTCTGTCTGTTATTGACTTGGGCTGGCTAGCCTCTATAAAATTGTGGACACCAATAGACTTTGTACTAAGGTTAGGTTAAACAGACACTTGGAGCAGGCCGCTACACACTTTTG